TACAGCATTCAGCTGGACAATGACATGGCCAACCATTATGCTCATGAAACATACGAGCCGATAATAACCAATTCTCCAACCGGCATCATTTCTACAAGGGCAGGTCGCCGGCTCCCGAGCTCCCCTCCGCGCCCGGAAAAAGCAAAGAAAAAAAGAAGGCAAATCCAATCATTCGAAATATTCGTATGATAAACACCCCATCAGCCAGCACGTAACCGTACCACCCTTTTCAGCTCCAGCTGAATCCCCCTCCCTCCCTACTACCGACATCGCATCACACCACATCCCATGACACCCCCGCCCGACCCACCCGGACTCTCGGCCTCCGAGAGCGCAATGCTTGTATGTTGTCAAGCTCCCTCCTCTCTCCCCCTTTGTCCCATCCATCTGGCCGGCCGGCAACCAGCCAAAAGTAGTCAAAACTCACCTAGTCTCACTCGCCCACTGCCGCAATTGGAGGATTGAGGTGACGCAAGCTCGACTCGGTATACCCTACGGCAGATTACACGGCGGAGCCTCGCATGCAACGTGGGAGGACCTCGTATTCATGAGACTGACGTCGATTTAGTGGAGGAAGAAGGAACCAAAGTAACAGGGTTGTCGGATGATCGCCGCAAGGCTGACTACGGTATATGACTACTCGTACGGTATCGTACCCGTAGCCATGGCAGGTGGCTGTCTGAGTTGACGGGGGGGTTGCCTAACGGTTATACCCACCACTATGAGTTATAGCGGTAAGATAATACCGTATGAAAAGGGCCCGGTAGAGATCATGATGGGGATATAAACCATCGGGAATCCCAGCTCTGTGAGTTAGTTATCTCACTTCATCAGAGGTACAATATCCAGCATCCAGCAAAATGGAACTCCATCCCCCCGTCACAAAAACCTACCCGATCCACACGCACCAGCAAAAGTGCTCAGAGTACGAATTCACCACATCTGACCCGACCAGTCCGATAACGCGCTACTACATCCTCGCTCCACCAAAATACAACCCGGCCTACGACCACAGAGGGTGGCGAGGGATAATCCACTCGGGGCCGAATCCAAAAGACCACACTCTAGCCGAGTCGCCAATCACAGGGCGGATAACGCGCACGACGTGGTGGAAGAATATATACATCGAGACGGGAGGCGGGATCCAGCGCGAGGTGAAGACGGACGAGAAAGCTATCAGGGTGAAGAACCTGAAGAAGTCGAATGGCTGGCGCAAGGTGTTTTGTCTAGGGCCGAAATCACTGGAGTGGACTGCTGAGGACGAGGATGCGCTGCAGGGTGTCGGGGAGGGGGAGGGGGAGAGGGAGAGGGAGAGTGTGGTTATGGTTCATATGGGACATAGGAGGTATGAGTTTGAGGTTGCCGGCGTGAAGTATCGATGGACTGGGACGAGGTTGCGTTCTGGGTGGCTTGTGAGGGGGACTAGACTTAAAGGGTTCGCCATTGGCGTTAAGGTATAGTATTATTCCCGCGCGGCTTGGGAGACTGACCATGATGCTGACGGAATCCCAGCTTGTCCGACTGGAAGACAAGAGACTCATCGCCTCTTATGAGAGGAAGTGTAGCCTGCGGGGGAGCTTGAGCGGGTACTTGCATTTCTATACCGACGAGAAGAGTGAGATCTTGCCCGAGCCGGTGATCGTGCACACGGCTTTTGGGATGATACGTTCCGAGAAGCAGAAGAGAGATACCATATGGGAAATTTTGCAGGAGATTGGAGAAGGTGCTGGAGGCTAAACTTTTTTTTTTTTTTTTTTTTTTTTTTTTTTTTTTTTGGCGCCTGAGTGAGTGCTTAATGGTGGTTTTGTATGTAACTTTTATTTTGGGTGTCTTTAGTTGATGTAACTCTTCCCCTGCAGTGGTTACAGTTGGGGTCCTTCCACGAACCTACGATACTATACCGGTACTCTTGTTGTGTGCTCGAATAATTAAAGATCTGACGCACGGTATCGTACTTTCTCGCTGTGCTTAGCGAGGACTAGTACGATAGTATGATAGTCGCTTTGGGGCTTACGTTGGCATTGATCACATTCGGGTGCTGGGGACTTATGGATTATACTTAACCTTAATCACTATCTCTAAAACAACTTCGGGAATTTCCCGGTTCTTGGCTTATTCACTTGAACAAGTGCACTGCGCCTGAAACAATACTCCGGGAGCTTATTATGACATCGGTGGATCACCTAATATGTCTGGAGCCGTGAATAATAAAGTTAGTAGTTAGCGGTTCAGGCTTCCTGTGTCACAAGTCTTAGCTCCGTAGATAGACTAAACTATCCTTTTCTCAGAATCCCTACATCATTCAGATGTTCCAATAGCATCATCCCCCGGCAGAACTCGCGGTATTAAATTTAACGTCGGAATCCTCGGTAGGAAAGTCACTTATAAATCGAGGTACGATGGTACAAATGCTGTTGAGTATCATACAAACAAGGGAACCGGGTACAGTACACTGGGGGCGAAGGAAGGCTGCGCAAAACCACATTGTGCAACATGCAGTGCAAAGTATCAATAGATATACGTAAAATCGTGTAGCCTTTCCTGTTCATGCAGCATGCCACGCTATAGCCAGCAAAATATCAAACCTAGAAGCAAGCCCAACACCACTTCTCGAACCCAACATGCTCTAATGATCATTATATATAGCCACATCCCACACCGCACATATACAAACGTTGCAGATACTCCTCTGGATCACTGCGTGGCCCCGATTTAATCATCCTCTTCCTTTATCGTAGCCTTGACATCCTCTCCAGGGTTCTCGAGTCTGATCCTCCTCTCAGCCTTAGGGGTTATGGAAGCGTACCACCTATCCTGGACCGGCACAGGCCCCTCGGGGGTCGCTCTATTGCCAGGTTTTGGAGTGCGCGGATTGCGGACGACTCTCTCTCGTCGTTTTGTCCTAGGGCCGCTTATCGAGGCCGGTGGCGGCGAGTCTTCCCGAGGAGTGCTTTGGAGCGCAGGTGTTTTCTCCCGCCCCACCGTTGAAGGAGTGTGCTCTCGCGGGGTTTGCTCGGCACACACCGTCCCAGAAGATCTGTCATCGTCGTTTTCGAAATCAGCCTCTCCCTCCGGTCCCACGGCGCCTGAAGATACAGGCGATACCCCAGTTCCTGGTTTCCTGGGAGTCCAGTCGCAACAATTATCGCATCTTTGACCAATCACCACATCCGCAAATGCATCCATCATGTGTGCTGCTGCGAAAGATCCACGTTCAAGTTTGTCCAAGAGGGGGAATAACACCTTTAAGTCGTTGAAGTCCGGCATAGTGCCCTCTTCCTCAGGGGTCCCAGCTGGGGTTTCGGGGTGTCGGAAAGGAGGTGGGGACATGAAGGTTTGCGAAAATATGTGTGGAGAAGATGCTGGCGGTGTTGCTCTGTACGACACCATGGATAGTTTCCTCGGAGTCTCCAACCGAGCCCCCACCCCCTTCCCTTTCACGATTCCGCCGCCATCATCATCACCACTCAAAACTATCCCATGCAGACCCCGTATAAATGACCCGAGCTCCTCCACTCCCCTCTCCCCCTCGAACGGGAAATATGGGTTATCGGCCAACTTCCTGCTCTTAAAACCTCCACCGCCGAATAGCGCTGGTTCAAGAATCCCTGCCTCATAATTGACGGCCCAGTGGCTCTCCTCATTTTTCTCTTTCTCGTCCAGCTTGCCCGCTCCCCCGCTAACCAGCCGCTCGACGGTAAGAAATATCTTCTGTAAGACGAGCCCAATCTCCGTGGGGCATGCGCATTTGCGACATGGAGCTCTCAGAGGTGTGAATTCGCGGGACTGGTAAATTCTGATCGTTGCCAGGGGTAGGAGGGAAAGCGGGTAGCAATAAGAAACGGTTGAGTAGGAAGAGGAATGAGAAAGGTGTGTGGAGTACTTTTTGGTCGGATAATATGTGGTGAAGGATTTCAACCTTGGAGAGCAATGACGTTTTGGTGGCGGTGAATCTGACATTTTGGAATTGGTGGATAGTAAGGAGGAAGGGGAGGGGGGGAATGGGTCTGACAGGAAGGTTGAACTTGGTTTAACATGATGGCTGGTCGTCTGACTTGGGCTGGTGCTCGCGGTTGTGATCGACACGGGTAAGATCGCGCCAGGATCCGTGTCACAACGTGTTACGGTTTGTCTCGACATGGGCGCCTAGTTCCTCGACTGGTGGTACAGGGCTGGTGCCTTAAAGATTGCGGTTGGCCTAAGAATTCCGCTGGGGTCTAACCCACCTTATGTTATCGTCACCCGGCTATCATGGGGTTAAAGTTTAATATACACCACATCATACTATAGCATCCCTCATAAAAGAGAACCCACGATAACGAGAATGTTCACACATAATTGTTTACCGTGCCCTATAGGATTTCCTCCCTCAGGGTGGCGGTGGCACTCTCGCGTTACTATCATGAACAGTGTGATAAAGTACCATTTCAAATTGATTCGTCCGTCCAGCGATACAATGGCAACCCTACCTCCACTATATATTTAACCGTGCCAAGGTTCCCGCCGATTGTGTGACTGCACGCAGTTGCAAATCTTGCGGCACGTCTACGACGTGCCCTACAGCTCAACGCCAGATTTACCTCAACGCCAGATTTTTGATCAATCCTGAGAAAAATATCAACACCAATCAGCCCAACCCTTCAAAAATGATGGAACACTATGCAGAGATTGATGTTAGGATTGAACTCGCCTGTCAGAAGCTTTTAGAAAGTGAAAAGCCAAACATTACAGCTATGGCATGTGAATTTAAGGTGCTGGAGACACTGCTTTGGGGGAGATGGAAGAGATGTCAAGCAAGAACCAAACAACTTCCGGTAAACAGAAAGCTTACGGAGGATAAGGAACTTACTGTTGGTCTATATCTACAATGCTTATGAGATTGGAACCTCTGTACGACTTTCTATGATTACTAACTGTGCAAACAGTATCCTCAATTGAAATCAGACAGGTGCTACACCCAACTCTCTACCTCCTACTGTCAGTTCTGTTTGGATTGGTCGCTTTCTTCCACAACATCCAGAGTTTCATGTCAGGAAACAAAAGACTCTAGATCAAGAAAGAAGAAGTGCACACAATCCCGCAGATATTTTGGATTGATTCCTCCGCTTTTAAAGTGGTGTTTGATGATTAGGGTATGCAAAAGAAGGATATCAATAACTTTGATGAGACTGGCTTTCTTATCAGGATTGGAAGAGATCAATGGATTGTAACTCTTAATCCTGATTTGTAATCATACTTGGCAAGTTCGACAAGCTGTGAGCTGGTTACCCCTTATGAGGTTATGTTAAGTGGAGACAATCAAGAAAATCTTTCAAATACCATGGAAAACAGGGGGGTACCTTGATAATACCATTCTTGGCACAAATATACTATTGCAAGATTTTACATTGCAACGATCAACAAAATATTCACTCTAGCACAGAGTTCCCCAGTTCCATTACCTCTCAAACAATCCAAAAATATTGTAAAAAATCTTATAAAAAAGCCAGAACTACTTGAGACCTGCTAATATTTTTTTAAATTGTTTCTAGCAATTTTCTTAGGATTCTTGGCCCAAAAAATCACCAAGAACATACTACGATTGTAACGTGTTCGCAAGGTGCTAATGACGTTATCGGTAATAGATACGATAGTTGGCAGGTGGCCTGCTCTTCCAGAGAGGAGGCGAGAGCTGAGAACTAAAGGAGGTTTCGAGGGTGTACTGGGGAACAAAGAAGTAACCGTTCAACCAAGTATATTGAAATACTGTCTGTCGAAGTCTGTCTTTTCTATCGTAGAAACAGGCGGTCTTTAAATACACAAATCAGTTCATGTCTAGCATGGACGAAACTAATCAAAGGTATCAATCAATACACTTTGGTAAAACTCCTTAAGTATGAAAGCGATACTTAAAACAAAACATAAAACAAAACCAAGTATCAAATGATACTTAAAACAAAAACATAAAACAAAACCAAGTATCAAAGGGATACTTAAAACAAACCAAGTATCAAAGCGATACTTAAAACAAAAGATAAAACAAAACCAATAACCGAGTACCCATACCGGTTACAACGATTAAGAGAGGTCAGACCTGTAAACGGTATGGGTACTCGGTTATTAGTTATGTTTTATGTTTTGTTTTAAGTATCGCTTTGATACTTAGTTTGTTTTAAGTATCGTTTAATACTCGATTTTGTTTTATGTTTTGTTTTAAGTATCGGCTTGATACTTGGTTTAGTTTTATGTTTTGTTTTAAGTATCACTTGGATACTTAATTAGTTTCACCAAAGTGTATCGATTGATACCTTTGATTAGTTTCGTTCATGCTAGACATGAACAGATTTGTGTATTTAAAGACCGCCTGTTTCTACGATAGAAAAGGCAGACTTCGACAGACAGTATTTCAATATACTTGGTTGAACGGTTACTTCTTTATTCCTCAGTACACCCTCGAAGCCTCCTTTAGTTCTCAGCTCTCGCCTCCTCTCTGGAAGAGCAGGCCACCTGCCAACTATCGTATCTATTACAGATAATGTGATTAGCACCTTGCGAACATGTTACATTTTTTTAACCTCAGCAAGTGGTTAAGAACCTGTCCCCGGATTTAGGCCTGATCAACCTATCGATATCCACCCAAGAACGCTAGCGGAGAGAAGCGGCAGAATCACGGTACATTAGGCTTCATCTCAAACCCAAGATAGAGTCTTTGACGACCAGGAGTGGGAAGCAAATCCCACAGCAAGACCTTACAAGAAAGAAACAACCCCGGCGCTCTGCTAAAGAGCCTGGCGATCCTACAAACACGGAAGATACACAACCTCCAGGAGAATTCCCTTCTATTCCAGCAAAGAAGCCGCCCATTGAACCTCCAATCGACCCCGAGTCCAGTAGTGAATCAGAAATGCCTAGCACAGGAGGAGGGCCTTCTGGAGGAGGAAAATCTCGGGCTAGGCCTGAAGAAGAGGAGGTACCCACAGCATTTGAACCCCCTAAGTTTAAACTCCACCTCCTAGCGAAGTTCACAGGAGAAGGAAAAGACCTCAAACCTGAAGCTTTTGACCAATGGGCGACGGAACTCTCACACTTGCTACTCTTACAAGGAAAAGATGTGGAAGACCCTACAACCGGACTTATCTTTGGATCGTTCTGCAAAGGAAAGGCAACCGACGCATACCACCAATGCTATAAGGAATACAGCGGGAATGTAAGGATTAAGAGGAACTACAGTTCTCGATTACCTGAAAGGACGTTTCCAATCCTGTATAACCAACGACCTCCTACACAACAAATTCAACCAGCTCCAGCAAGTTAACGGAACGCATGTCAAACGAATCACCGATGTGGCTACGGACCTGATGATGTATAAGGACCGAATAGAGAGAGGAAGTATCTCTAAATACATCCTGAAGTGACGATTCTACGACACTATGCACCCTACCCTCCGGCGAGAAGTAGAACCACTCGAGGAAGATGGCAATGATATTGCAGTAATAATTGCAATAGCAGAATGAAAGGACGCCATTCTCCATGAGACCAAGGCCTACAAAACACAGACATCCTCTAGTAGGAATAGCCAGCCATGGCACAAAGCCTCCAGCAACTCTGAAGATGATAACCCACGGGTTTTCAAGAAGAAAACAAAATACTCCAAAGAATCAAGACGGCAGAAAGGAGAGTGTTTTGAAGGTGGAAAAATAGGACACATGGCAAAGAACTGTCCTACGAAGAAAGGGAAAGGAAAGACAATTAAGCAAAAGGCATTGGCCAACAATGTTGTAAGCGATAATAACCAATCCAGCGAATATGAAGAGATCCATATCGGATATATCAATGTGGAATGCAACAGTGTTCGACCTCCGGCTACATTCAAAGCACACACCGCCCTGGAAGGTACTATCCTGATCAATGGTAAAAAGGTTCGAGTCCTATTTGACACTGGCGCAATCAGAAGAGATATGATCAGTAATGCCTTTGTCTCTGTCCATGGACTCCCAACTCGAGACCTTAACCAACCCATACCAGTCAATATGGGAGTAAAGGAATCACGATCTACAAGCTATAAAACCTGTAGTGCGACTATTCGACTTGGTTCTGCAGTCCTACCCCCACAGGAAATGCTGGTTGGAAACTTAGCCAAATACGATGCCCTAATAGGCATGCCATTCCTGAACCGCCACCAAGCGATAATCAGGTGTGGGGAATCAACCATCGATTTCCCTGATTAGAAGGTCAGAGTTTCATCCAAGCCAACCTGCGGAGAGTACCGAGCCACAGTCTGTGAAGCAACTGCCTAACGACTATTGGATGAATACTCTGACATTTTCCCTGATCAAATACCTGAAGAACTACCGCCTATGAGAGAGGTGAATCACCACATTCGTCTCCGAGACCCCTGTAATCTCAAGAACCAACCCACCTACTCTATTCCTGACGCATACAAAAGCCCACTTTGTGATTGGATCAACCAACAACAAAGAAGAGGAGTCATTTACCAGGCAGAAGCCCCAGGTGCAGCTCCAATGTTCGTTCAACCCAAAGCAGATGGCAAAAGAATCCGCCCCTTGGTTGACCTCAAGCTACGGAACGAAAACACAGTTATGGACAGCTCCGCTATCCCAAACCAAACCCAGATCTTAAATGCAGTTGGACGGGCTAGATTCCGCAGTAAGATTGACCTAAGTGATGCTTACTTTCAAACAAGGTTAGATCCAGAAAGCGAACGCTATAACAGTTTCAAAATACTCTTCAGAAGTTACATTAGCTGAGTTATGTTACAAGGTGATATGAATGCGCCCGCCACCTTTATGCGAATTATGGAAAACCTCCTGAGGGAATACCTCCACCATTTTGTTTGGGTCTACATTGATGATATTCTCATCTTCTCGAACACCGAAATAGAACACGCCTACCATATAGGTTTGGTTTGTACCAAACTTAGGGAAGCTAAATTCTACACTAGCAGAAACAAATCAATCCTG